TTACGCTATGATAGACATAAGTATTTAAATTTTCTAATCTTGTTTTTGGCGTAGTTATTAGAAATGTAGTTATCTTTTTTGAAAATTAGGTACATACTAAAAGCTTACCACATCAATCCTTTTAACCAACAAAAGGTTTATACAAAGTTATGTAATATTCTATTTACTGAATACACAACTCAGACATCGAACGCTGGTAACCTCAAACCGAGTATCAGATATCGCCTTGTAGGTTAAACGTAATCTATAATCGTTGACGCGACCCTGGCAGGGGAATCCGTACGATTTGTGACGAAATATATCTACATAATATCATGACTATAGTTTCCTAAAGGAATAACTAAAGTCAGAAATATCAATCTATTTTTAAAATCGGTTTTACAATACCAATCAGGGCAGCGCAAGACGTCCCTTTTTTGGGATAAGTCGAAGCATACGGAATACATTATGGTAAGCAATTGACGCCGCCCATGTACACCTGAAACTTCAAAAGCGTTACAAGTGCGTTACCGGCCTTTTGGCGATTAAGTATTTAAGGATGGTTGACGATTCGGGAGATTGGGAAATTGGGCCTCCAGTAACCTCAATCACACGACGAAATACAACGCAAGTTTTGTTTCACGTCGGTTTTCTGCAAGGCCGTGGTATCATTCCGGTCGAGGCCCATTCGTGCTGAAGCATAGCTCTCCCACACGTATGTTGTCTACCCACATGGTGGACAGAACACCGGATAAGCCGCATCTTTTCGCCATCGACCCTCACGATATGCATCCACATCATATAAATGGTTGGCAGGCCACAACTGTGCGCGTAGCTTTCTGCTTCGCACAGCAAAACGGAATGATCTATCGTCGGCGGTATTTCCGAACTCATACGACCTTCAAACCTTCAAGAAAAGAGCGTATTCCATTTTAAAAGGCCGGCAACGCACCTGTGAGTCCTCTGGTGTTGCGGGTGTCCATGGGCAGCGCTGACCGCTTACCATCAGGTGATCCGTCTGCTCGTTTGCCTCCTATTCCATAAAAATAAAAATCACTTATTATATGGTCATCCGTTGCTTGTTTGCTCCCAATAGCATAAAAAAGAAATCCTGTTAGTTATGTAAAGAATTTTCAGAAATCTTCCTGTACTATTCTCTTCTCGAATATTCTTTTAGACTCCCCAAAGAAATAATCTGTTTTCTTTTTCTTTAGTTTCAGCTATGATTCGTTTGTCAGTCACTCAGTAACCCAGTAATGTGAGAGGTCTATACTTAAAAATATCGCGGGTTACTCACGTGAATATACTGAAAAAGCTCTACTAGTTTCGAACCACGAAGGGTTTCTTCCTCATGAGCAGCGTGCGCGGTCGTGGCGATGTCGCGCAGCCTACTGGTAGTACTACTAGTAGAGCTTTTCTCAGTATACTCCCGCGATTTTTAGTTAATTTAGTATTTAGTATGTCTCACGATAGTTATTATAAAACAGGTCTATACTTTATATGCTATGTGCAAGTAATCAATAAAACATTCATACGACCATTTCAATACACCGTCCACTCAGGGCAGAGTACTTAATATCGTAAACGATTGCTTCATTGTACTCATAAAATGTAATTGTTTATCGAGAACAACCGTAACGTCGACATGTACCTATTAACTTATGTATGCATTTGAATAGGTATATTTCTATTACAAATATTAAGAAATGCAGACAAATGTTTAACTTTTTGAAGTGTTTTTGGAGTGTTGTAATGCCTCAGGGATGTCAATATTAGGGTCCATAAACACTTTTTGTCGAAATCACGGAGGGAACCTTGTAAAATGATATGGAACTTTAGGGAACAGAGAGTAAAGTTCCCTAAGATCGGAGATCGAGGATCCTTCAACGAGGCGAGGTGTTTGTGCCTGGCGGGCTTTCTGCCCGACAGTTGTTCGTTGGGATTTTCTATCCATGTTAATTCGCATGTGAACTTCACATGTGCGATGTAGGATTTTTGTGACGTCATTCTTTTCATCGATGGTCTATGTGCGTAAGCTCATCGACATATACATTATTATGTCATGGACATGCCTTAGAGATCAGAATTGTGGCACTCCAAAAGAAAGAGAGGAAACGAAATTTCGGTCTATCTTTATCTCTCTCAAAATAGTACCGTAGTTAAGACGTTATGAGCGAGAAAGAGATAGCGCTAGACCGAAAGCATAGGCCATCTCTCTCACTCTTTTGAAACTAAAAAATTACTGCAGATTATACGCGCACGGCATGTCCATTAGTATATGTCGATGCGCGAGCTGTCATGCTGTCATTTGACGTGTGGCGTGTGTCGCCACAGAACTTATGGCCGTTTTCCCGTAAACTGTTATTTAGACACTTATAGGTTGGTATAAACAAATTACCTTGTATCTCATAAAATAAATAAAGAAAGAAAAACCATTTATTTTGCTACGACACACAACAAGAAACATAGAAAAAAGCCCATGGTGCGTCGCAGCGCAAAAGGCTGGAGCTCAGCTTAATACCGTGGACCGGGCACAGAGGCTCGAGCCCACGGCGCTGATTTTCAATACCAGCCCGTTATAGTACGTACTAGTTAAATACCTACAATAACGCTGTTCGGAGCACAGCGTGATGTATAATAATAAATTAATATAAAAGTGAAAACAAAACCAACAGCAACGATTACTGCCAAAAATCTAAATAAATGGATACAAAATAAATAATTAAAATAATAACAAGAACAAAATTATACATACGTCATATTAATAACAATAGCACATATCTATATATATAAAAATGAAACTCGTTTCCCGTTGTCACGCCATAACTTGAAAGCGGCTTGACCGATTTAGCAGATCTTTTATTTGTGGTGTTTATTATTGTCAGGAGAAGGTTCTTATAACAGAAAAAAGTCCTGTAAATCCTACGGGAACGGGAAAAAACGGGATTGCGCGTACGAAGTCGCGGGCAGAAGCTAGTTGAAAATAAATATAATTACATTCAAAAACAATAATGTTGGACGCATCATCATAGACAGTGAGTATCTTTACTTTGACATTTGCCTCAATGACATTGACAATATACTTTAATATGATGCAATCCAGATGCGTAAGTTTATTTATTGGATCGGTACCACATTTGGGATTCTTCTGTTGCAGATGTCCATGGCCGCTAATAATCTAATGATCCGTCGTTTATCTCCTGGTCTATGCAATCTTATAAACACGTTTAATATAACCAAAGCCTCACAACTTTCACTCTTAATACTAGAGGCTACTAGTGAAGATATTGTTGAATTAATGAGAATCCTAGGCGCCAGTTAGGGGTTGGTATTGCCTCATAAATGACGACATCTACGCCTCATTACGTGTGGAAATGGGCACAGAGCTGAAACTATGCGAATGCCATCTTATTTGCATTCTTATTCGTGACTAGCTACTTCCACGCCGTTTCACACGCCCTGCTCAGCTCCTATTGGTCGTGATGTTTTATAGCCTATAGACATCCTCGATAAATGCACTATCTAACACAAAAAGAATTATTAAAATCAGACTTGTAGTTACGGAGATTAGCACGTTCAAACAAACAAACAAAAAAACAAACTCTTCCGCTTTATATAATAGTATAAGACTAGCTGTGTCCGCGACTTTGTCCACGTGGAAGAGTGATTCACAGCAGATCCCATAGGTGAAAACGTGATAATAATAATATGTAGATTGTAGCCTATATGTTGACCCTACCTATCAGTCCTAATCATGCAAAATTTGAGGTAAATCCGTGCAGCACTTTATGAATTCATTCCGTACATACTTACAGACAGGTAAAAATTCTAAAAACCATATTTTTGGCTTCGGTATCGACTGTAGATCACGCCCAAAGCATTCGTTTAAAAAAATATTCGATATACAGTTTTCACTTTCCTACGATTCTATTATAATTATGTATCGATGTTATAGGTTTTGTGAGTCGGCTATACAAGACTATAATATGGAGTATGTATTCATAAATGCGTCAACTAAATGAACTTATTTAATCTTCAATTACACTGTTGACTATTCTCCGAGCTGCCCCGGCTCCAAGTAGGAGTAGAAACGGGGTACTTTTAATCAGTAAGAGTCAGACACGACTCATTTGAAGATATTTCGCCGTCGTCAAAAATAAGGTTAAACGCAGTTACAAGTTCCTTAAAAGGTATCTCTAAAAGACTTTAAAGGGTTCTCTATGGTTCTATATAATTACATCTATATTAACTAAAAATCGCGGGTTATTCACGTGAATATATTGACAAAAGCTCTACTAGTTTCGTGCTCATGAGGAAGAACCTCTCTGTGGTTCGAAACTAGTGGAGCTTTTCTCAGTATGTTCACGTGAGTAACCAGCGATTTTTAGTTAATTTAGTATGTCTCACGATAGTTATTATAATAAAACCTATCTATATAAATAAAAATGAATTTCCGTTCGTTTGTGTCGTTAAAACTCTAGGACGACTGAACCGATTTAGTTAATTTTGGTCTTGAAATGTTCATCGGAAGTCCAGGGAAGGTTTAAAAGGTGTAAAAACCAATTAGGCGGTACGAAATTTGCCGGGTCGACTAGTAAATTATAATGAAAAAGTACTGCGCCGATTTCCTCTGCTTGACTTTGATATAGTCCACCGGGAGTATTGGTCTCCTCTACATAAGAAGGTTTGTCATAACCTTCGTGCTCGGCAGGCAGGTCGGAAGTCGCAGTTTAAAAGATTCAGGATTATCAGAGTACAGCTGCCTAGCCTGTTAAATATAATTATAGTCTCTTAATCAGTGGGTCTTACGACATCCGAAACATCTATAAGAACAGTTGCTGCTACTGGATTCAGGCTGCAGGGAGCAGCAATTGAAACAGGGTGACGTTTAGTTTCTTAGTATCAGAATTTCCCTCCAACCCAGGGCTGTAGGAATCATTTGATAATTTACAGTACTTACGAAAATAGATACTCCGACTGAAAAGACTTATTCAAAATAAGTAAATATCTCATTGTTCTAGTTGTGCCAAGTACGACTGCCATTCTTGAAGCTCAGAGTTCTGGAGATGCAGGTCAGTCAACACATACTAAACGTAGGCTCAACAGAGTTAACAGGGCTTCAGACGACCTAGTGGGTTACAGGGGCTTCGACTTAAAGGAGGAGTAGAATCGGGCGGTTTTGGTCAGTAACAACAGACTGTTACTGAGTGATAGAACACTCGCCTCACCCAAGGCGGGACTTCTACCGCCTAATGACTTTTTATTTGACCACTGAATAAAAGGCTCAACAACAGTGTTGAGTGTCGAGGACAAGGTCCTAAAAAGGACTCTCTATAAGGGTCTATTGAATGATGTGTGATCACCTACGGCCGAAATTAATGACCAATCCTAAATCTATGGATTAAGATCGATCGAATTTTGACAGAAACTCTTATTCAACTATTGTCAAAAAATCGACATCGTGGTGGCCCAAAGGCTTAAGACGCCCGTTTATCATGCATGAAGGCGCGGTTTCGAAACCTACCAACGGCAAGTACCAATGTGACTTTTTCCGAGTTATATGTACTTTCTAAGATTATTTAGACACCACTGACAAACGATGAAGGAAAATATCGTGAGGAATCCTGGGCTTATAATTTCTAATTATAAGTTTGAAATCGCCAATCCGCATTGAGCAAGCGTGGTGATTAATGCTTAAACCTTCTCCGTGTGAGAAGAGGCCTTTGGTCAGCAGTGGTCACTTATAGGCTGTTATATACATGATGATGAATATCAAAAATCGATTTTAAACTGTCAAACGCCAAGCGGTCACCGGTGACCGCAACCTATTGTTCTATAATTGTGTCTATAATGACGGTACTTGACGAGTTAATCAGATTTTGGATTGAAGTGGTTGTGTAGGGTAGTATAAAAATTGTATGAAAATTAAAAATGTAATTAGTCCGTCAGTTAGATAATGAAAAAATATTCGACACGTATTTTTTTATTTTGTCGTAAAAGAAAACAATTCGTGGACAAAACGGAGTTAAGTTTAGGAGTGGGAGGTCGTTACGTCACGCTTCCCTATAAAATGTAGTAAATCGTGACGTCATACGGTATTGAAATCATTATATCGTCGAAAGCATTTAATTTTGTAAGAAAAGAAAAAGTACGTGTCTATTTTTTTTTTAAATAATCTACCAGACGTACAGTTTTTTATTGGCAGACAAAGTCTTAATTGAAATAAATAAATAAATTTTACTTCCGGCTTTGATTTTTAATAAATAAAGAATATATGCATCGATCGACATTAAGTATTCCCGACACTGTTCCAACTTATACCTAAAGTGACGTGGCGCTGGAGGTAAATTAGAAGTTCAAATTCTTCGCGGTTAAAGGGGTAACATAAAATTTACGATATGTTCTTATAATAACTATCGTGAGACATACTAAATTAACTTAAAGTCGCGGGTTTACTCACGTGAATATACTGAGAAAAACTACTAGTTTCGAAACACAGAGGGTATAATTAGTATATTCACGTGAGTAACCCGCGGTTTTTAGTTAAAATTTAGGAATCTACCTATCCTATTCAGTCGTTAGTCAGCTATGTCACCCGCTGGAAGAATAAGGGTGCTAGTTACCCATTCACTATGTTGTCAGCACACAGTTAATCACACTCAAACTTCAAAAATGTATGTTTATTTATTTATTTTAAGAAGGCTTACAGACTAATACATAGAAAATGGTTTTATAAGAGTATAATATTGACAAATTGCCAATTACAAGCCTCCACATATAGATAAAAAGAAAAAAAAACAAAGACGGTACAAAAAAAAGAGTACAGAAGACAATTAATTACTAACAAATATTAATTGTTAGAAAAATAATTACAAAAAGAAGTTAACTATCGAAGAAGTTTTGTGCGATTTGATGTCGGAAGGATGCTACACTGGTGCAGAATAAGTCGATGTCAAATTCCTTAGACAGTCTATTAAAATCGAGTGCACTCCCTATTGAAAAAACGTTTTTCTCTATAATTGAACAACATTTAAATATTCTATCATTAACTAAAGTCGTAAAGTATCTAGCACGGTCGTGGTTCGTGCATTTGACGTAGTAGTCTAGGATCCCACGGCAATTAGACGTTATTTATCTATTTGATTTTGAATACTTGAATCTTTGAATTCTATAGGCTCACCCCCTGGGACTCATACATAACATAAATAGTGAAAAGTGGGTGTTATACTGTGCAGTAGTATCAAGTGCCGTAATGTACAACTCTGCCTACCACTTCGGTGATAAAAGGCGTGATATTATGATTTTGAATACCTAATGTTATTTTGGTTACTGCTAACATTAGACAACAGATTCACTTACAGCAAGAGTCTAAGAATTTCAATGGAAAGTTTTCAAGTGCTATCCCAATACTAAGGTCACACCTGCACTGGAGTCACTAGATCTGGATTGAACAGGTGCTTTAATGAAATGACTAAACACTGTTTTCCAGTTCATAAGTACGTATGTGTACAATCTACAAATAGTCCGTCCGTTTACGTATTGTTCTCGCCCACAATAGTCACGACTGATGGAACACCCTAGAAAACCATTAAAACAAAAAAGGGCTATTGTTTATCTTACCCAAGACATATACTACCTCTAGATAGCACGGAAACTAACTTTTTTTTAACGTAACATTAGAATTTTCTCCTATGTTGCTGGTGCGTTTACAAACATACAATATCACATACACATGAAACCCAAATCCGAAACAACAATTTATGTATCACACAAATATTTTATTTATTCTGTAAATTAACTCTTATACATTGTAATAATATATGTCGGCGCGGCCGTCATTATTTTGTAAACTGCGAATGTAATGGGCGAGCAGTGAACAAACAACTGACCGACGTCACTTCAACCCCACCACCGAGTGATATATAAAGCAGCGCAAGCGCAAGCTCGAGTCAGTCGTTCGTCGATCGTTGCCCAGTTCACACGTTACGCAATCGCTGAGTAATTTTATTGTTGGTTTTATTTGAGTGTTTCCTTTATATAATCAGTGCTGAATTATTCAATTATTATAATTAAAAATTAATGTGAAAGTAAGTTCATTTAATCGAAATAAACTAAGTGATTGTGTGAAGCTCTTTGTTTTATTTTCAAATAATGTCGGACCCTGATCCTACATCAGAAGTGGGATGGACCGGGATTATTGAAAATGTTAAAATTATCGGAGCCGGTTCGTGAAGAACTACCTACATGCAAATGCGACGAAGAAGATAGTGCTGCAAGATTGGAAGTGCTTAGCTATACATAGCTAGCTACTCTGTAGTGAAGATACAACGTGGCTAACGTTGAGGCAGCTACTTCGAACTGAATCGCTATCTGAAGCAGCAAATGAAGACATGACGTGGTCCCAATTCAAGCCGGAGTACATTGGCGTCCAGTGACAGCGTAAGATACGCGGCGTTAACGCAGCGTTTGGTGAGCGGCGTCTTGATGTCTGCAATTGGACACTGCTCCCATCGGGATTATACCAGGTGACTTTGTTCCATTTATTATGATTCCGATACCATATGGGTCAAAAACGAGTCAAAGACTTGAGTTTACAATTGTTAGTTTTCCAATTTGAAATTTTATTTTATTTTTGTCGGGTAGTTATTTAAAGAAAATAGCCGTGATGTTTTAGATCCGAGATTATACATGGTCATTAGAATTACGTCTGATAGTGTTACTTTGTGTTGTGTATTGTTAGGTAATATCTCAAGTAGTAGGCTTTCATTTGGTTGGAACTTGGAGGTATGGTTTCCGCGAGGTAGATGCAGAATTAAGTGGTGCTTGCTGTCTAACGCGGTACAGAGTATTGAGAAAAGTAGTTTATAACAAATAAAGGTCAAAAGCTGCTAATAATAATTGGTAGTTAAAGTCAGAATTGAAGAGACCTCTAAAGTCCTACATTCATTTAGGATTATTGTTGGGTTGGAAAATAGTTAAAGCGCTAAGAATACTCTGATGAGAAACATGCTTC